TCTTATTATTCTTTAAATCATGCCAGGAACTTCCCTGCTGCTCTAGGCAAGCATCTAAAGATCTCAAGCCAAGGAGGTTGTATATGGGATAGTGTAGGGAGACGTGATCAAGGACTCCTGTGTTGTGGGGGGAACCACGCTAAGATACAATAGAAAGACCCAGCTTCGTTCTTCATTCCCACCGTTCATTCATGGGCTCCCAATTAAGGCTGATTATTTCCCATCTGAGCACTGGCGTGGGAAACCTGCATGACCAAGTTCAAACATGGCCCAGGGACCGTCTTCAGAGCTCTGTAATGTGAGCATGTGCCCACCCGAGCCGCCGGGTGGGGTTCTGAGCAGATGTCATAGCTCACTCCCACCCGGCTGGAAAGGGTGGCGGATCATGCAAGGTTTGGATCCCACTTTTTTAAAAAAAAGTTTTAAAGCTGAAACTTTGGAATGTGATCCTAAAAGTAATCCCAAACTAAGCTTTATCCTCATTCCTTCATAAGACGAACCCCTTATTCCAAAATGCTAAAGAAAATACTAAGAGACTTGCACTAATTCCCATTATTCCTCGTGACTAGCGCCAAGAAGGTGACAGGATGTGACGGCCTTTATGAGCCAATATTTTTTAAGGCAAGAGCATTGAACCAAGAAGAGCTTTGCAAACCTGTGCCACACACTACTTTCAGAAACATTTAAACGTAAGCTCCACTGAGAAAAGTTAATGCTCAGGGAATCCTGAGACTTGAACTTGGGAGATCAGCCTTTACCACAGGGGCTCGCCCCACCCAGTTTCTGAACGCTTCTGAAGCTGCCTTACCCCCCTACCATCATTCTGAGCCCCTGACAGCGATCCACAGGTGACTGTGGCTGCCTGATGCAGCCCCACGGGGCCTGGGAGCTGACTCGCTACACCTGACAGCTCGCTCGCGGGCCCCCGGGGTCGGGCTCTAACCCTCGTCTGCCTGTGACCCGGGCATTCAAGTTGGTCCCCAGCCTGGACACCCGTCATCCAAGATGACAAAGTAACTGGCCACCAACAGCGACGCTCCGGTGCTGGTCTTCATGGCATGGCTCCAGACGAAGCACTGGCCAAGGCTTCCCTGTGCAGAGAGTGTTTGGACATAAGAGCGCACGGCAAATTAATATAAACCGGATGGCTTGTCTCTCTCTGGAGCTCCGCAATTTTTTCTCGTTTCCGCGTTTACAATCACATGCCCGCTGGGCTTGCTGAAGGACTGCAGAGTCCCTTTCAGACCCTGCCTGTTGTGCTCAATTTCTTATGCCGCGTCGCCACAACGCTCCGCCGGCTTCTCTCAGCTCACAGAGCCTGGCACCTGAACGGAAATGGAATCAGATGGCACTTAATTCACCCACAGGTGTGTCTTTCCACGTATCACCCAGCACTGGGAAAGCCCAGAGAAAAACTGCCAGTAAGAGAGCCAACTTTCCACGAGAATTAAAAAAAAAAAAGTCTAAAAAGCATGAGAAATGGAGGCAAAAGGGATTTCTAAAGTATGGTTTTAAAGAAGACAAGATGACGCGGGAGCTGGTGCCAAGGGTCTGACGGCCGCTGGGTCGAGCAGGCCCCTGCAGACTGGCCGCGCAGAGTGGGGAGGCCGCTGAGCCCTCCTCCTGGCTGAGCCCCCCCGGGCATCACTGACCCTTGCCCAGGCGTCCTCTGCTGCCTCACCATGGCTTCGGGGCACCTGTAATTCCCAGGATGAAGGTCGTGCCCCTGCCCGAGAGCGCGACCCTCAGAAGGTGTGGAGAACGTGCCAGGCAGCAGTGATTCTCCGGGCTTGGCTAGTAAACTCGGGGCTCTGATTTTTCCAAGAAACAGGGGGAGGACTAGGCGGTGCAGAGGAAGGGTTTGTGCGGACTGCGAAGGGCTGAGGGCGCCCCTGGTCCACACTGTCACTTCCCACAGACCTGCCCTCCCTGGCGCTGCGAGCTCGGCCAAGGCCCTTCTCTGCGTACAGCTCCTCCAGCAAGCAGAACACGGCGCTGCGAGCCCACTTGTCCCAGGAGCCTGGCCTGCCCGTCACACACCCCTTCTCTCCCGGCCGCCCGAAGCGGGCCTGGGGATGCCGCCTCCGCGGCCGCGTGGTCTCGGCCTTCGCCCTCCATTCTCCGGGTCTCTAGTTTGGAAACAATTCAGCACTTGCGATCAAAAAAGCCATTTCATCTGCTTACCCCCATCTTGAAAACAAGCCGCGAGAACAATGGGCAGGGGGCGGGGAGAGACCTTCAAACTCTTTTCATTGTAAAGAAACGCGGGGGTGAATCCCAGGAAGGAGGCGTGCGCTGCCAAGGATGTGGCGCTTCCTCAGTGCTCGGTGGGAATGCGCTGAGCGAATTTCTAACAATTGAGCGCGGCCTCTGTGCGCCCAGAGTTGTTGTTGCTGTTGTTCCAGCCCCAGCTGGCCTGGGGGTCGTTCCCCCGAGGACTGCCGCGCCCCACTTCCAAGGACGCCTTCGGGAAGGGGGAGGGGAAGGGACACGGTCTAGGAACCCGGGCTGCCCACCGGGAAATTCTTCTCCCTGCCCTGAGGGAAAAGCCCACTGCGCCCTGTGTGGCACCCCGAAACCCCACCGCCCGGCGGAGTCCCCAGCTCTGCGGCCTTTTCCCCCGGACCTGTGACCACTTGGCGCCAACACTCCAGACCACTTTCTCAACCACAAGTACCGTTTGCGGAACAGAGTTAGAGGTGGAACAGGTGTAAGTGTGAAAGTTACCCGGATCTTTGTGTTTCCAGAACATAGAAAGTTCAAATTCTGGTGCGAGATGAAAGCCGCCCAGCTCCCCTCTCTCCAAGGCCAGTTTTGCTACTTCCCCCCTCACGGACCTTCAGTTCCCACGCAGCCACTCCTTGCCTGGAGTACTGACGAGCTTCAGTTTCCATCCCCAGTGCCTTGGCCTGTCCCGCAAACAGGGCCTTTCCTGTCCCTCCATGTGCCCAAATGTCACCTACCCTTCAAGGCAGGCTCAAATCTGAGCTTCCTCCCCCTCTTCCCAGCTGGAAGAAAATTCTTGCTTCTCTGCAATCCCAAATTATCCAACCCTCTCTAACCATAATGACCATTTACTACATAAGAACAAAGTTGCTTTTGTTCCAGTCAAGATAATAAGCTCCCTGTGGGCAGGGCCCTGAGCACTTAGCACAGAGCAATACACACACACGTGCACACACACACAGCGGATGTGCCATACATTCTAATGCAATGAACAAACCAGAGTGACCGTCACACACAAATAATGCTTAGTGAACACAGTTCGGACGTCAACAGCATCCAGACATGAAAATCATCCAAAGCTTGGAAGTAAGGCAAAAAGAAGACCGAGTGCCCTCTTGGTGCTGTGCTAGAACAAACTCCATCAAGCCAGCCGCAGGAAGGGCCAGCGGCCTCTCCAGGCCAGGAGTTAACTGGTTGTTAACTTTCTGTTTACTATTGGTTAGGGCTCAGCCGCTGCAAAGTTAAACATTAACTTAGAGAAAATGGAGACTTTATTTGCCCACATGTTATGGTTTATTACCCTGTGAGTCACTAACCAGCTTCACATCTAATTTAGCTACTTTATTCTAGCTTTCCTTCCCCTGCCTCAGGCATCCATTTCTGTATGTATCCGTTCCTGATACGTCGCTTTAAGCCGCCTTTACCATCTTCCTTGCTCCTTTACTAATGAGCTAAATAAACCTTCAGTGTGGACTCATCTGATTACTAGGTGAGTCAGAAGGTCAACTATTAAAGAATTACACTTTGAGAGTATTAACAAAAGTGAGTGAGGGGACATATGTAAAAAGAGGCACTGACATACTATTTGTCTAGTCAGAATTAAGTTTCTTGAATTTTACCTAGAATCATTTCCCAACTACCAAAGTTACTCACCCACCAACATTTCTTTCCATTGCAAAGAACTTATTAGTTGCAACCACAGTGAAAGGAATGGATATTCGGTACATGTTTCTAGAATAATTTCTACTGGCATGAATGTGTCTATTTGCCAGTCTGCTATTCTCAGTTAGTGGCTTTATTTGAGAGTCTGTATCTCAACTAAAACAGTAGCTAATCTTTTGAAATAAAATCTGCTTGTAAGTTTCTTGAATGACATATCTCACGTTTGAAATTACCGGTTACAGAATGCAACTTTACCTCATGTTAGGTCAAATAGCATTTTGTAAACTTAAGCCATGCCAATATTGCATCAGAAATGAGAGAGTTGTTTGGAAATTACTTCAGGTCATAATGGAAACCAGATACGAATGCTTTAACAAGTGACTAACTGGAATTGAATGAAATAATCACCTAATCCATAAAGCATTTGTAAGATTTTCCCATAAAACACAGGTCATTTTATTTTTAACTGAAGAGAAATAATTCTTTCATATTGCCCTAAACATCAAATGCCATCACATCATAAAAATAAAATACGGCTCCTGGATTGTTCCATTTTGTTCATCCACTTATTGCTATGACACATATTGACTTTGCCCTAGAAGAACAAAAACATTGCACTTACTCACTCTCATTCACAATGTTTTCTCATCAGCAAGACTCAAAAAATAACCCCTGGAGAGTTCATCACCAAAAGTGAATCCTTCATTGTGGTCCTCTAGCCCCCAGAACGGTGAGAGAAACAATTTCTGTTGTTTTATGTCATCCCCGTTTGTGGTTTGTTACAGCAGCTCCAGGAAACTACCGCCACCCTTTAAATAGTGCTGTTTGTTTTTCTGGCTGTTCCTTGTAAGGGTGATCAGAATCTCTACTATTCAGAGTGCTCGGGGAAGCTGCACGGGGGCTGTGACAGGAGGGGGGTAGGACAAGACCGCGGGTGGCGAAAAATTCTCTGAGGTTCTAGTTCCTTCCAGTTTCATCCACCTTATACATTTGACTTCTACAAAAATCTAATTAATTTTAGGAAGATTCCTATTCTAAACATGTAAAGGGTGACGGTATAAAGATCCCCGCTTAGCAGTGTTCATGTGAATACAGCACACGGAGATACTCACCTCGACATGTTGACAGGTTTGGATGAGTTTGGCCAAAAGGGTCTCCAGTTCTGTGTTCCTCTTAATAAGGTTGGTGAGGTTACTCTCTAAGTTTTGCTGTTCAAAAGAGAGAGGAAAAATATTATTCTGCATACTTTAATACTTTAATATACACAAAATTATTTAAAACTGGGAAAAACTGACATTTTCCAGAAACAGCAATGAAATCTATGCAGTTTCAAGTATTTATAGATTTAAACTTTTGAGAAGTTGCATTTAAAAGAACCTTTCAAAAATGGTCCAATTTCATTCTTTTTATTCCTGCTTCTTACTTGAACTCAGGTATATATAACTAGATCATTACTTATAGGTTACTTCTAGGTCATGAAGTAGGGAGAAAGAAAGGATTTCTATTCCTTTCCCTGCATCAGAAATGGCAATACTGTAAGGACTATATTCGCACACCAAGTAAACTGCTATTGGACTTTTGGGATTGGCCATCTCGTGGGCAGGCTGAGGTCGGTCCCTCAGAGGAAGGTTTGCATCATCCAGCCACTGCTGACAATATGGTCATTTATGGACATTAAAAAGAAGTCCTTTATTTGCTCAGTCCATTTTATTGTACACACTTCTACACTTTGCCGATCAAACTATCAATGCCAGATCCAATTTCCTTGAATGCTACATTTACTTGATCATTATCCTGCTTAAGAATCTAGAGCACACAATTTAAAGTCCCCTGCAGTGCTTAAATCTTACTTCCAGCCACAATAACCCTCTGTTATTAGTAAGAGACTTTAAGCATTGCCCACTGCTTCTCATTCTGCTCAGTCTTCATTTACACCATTCATTCATTCATTCATTCATTCAAGTATTTACTGAGCTTCTACTATATGTCAGACTCTGAGATAGACACCGGGGAAATAAAAATAAAAATACAGAGCTGGCTATACCACTGGGAGAGAGACACTAGCAAGAGAAGGGGGAGAGGCAGGGCTGCCTGGAGAAAGATTCCCAGAGGACAGTCATTTAGCTGAGGCTGGAAGGGGGAGTGGGGAGTTTTTGGTGGACAAGACGGGAAATGTCTTGGGGAGAGGGACTGGATGTGGAGGTGAGCCTGGAGGAGTGCAGTCCGCGGCAGGGACCAGAACCACGACACACCCCCAAGATCAGGGAGGGCTGAAAGGGCAAAGGATTTGGGGCCGCTGTGTATTTTAACACAGAGACAGTTCAAGAAACACAATGAAGCCAGAACAAAAGTGAGTTTCAGGAAGAAGCAGCGGTCCGGGATTTGTAATGCCCGCTGAGAAAAAAGATTAGGAATGAGCATGAGGGGTTTTAAAAATGACCGTTTCATAAAGGTGATCATTCATTCTGCTGTGAAAATTATTTCCTAAAATATTGACCCTTTCTGCTTTTGAAATTCTGGATTTAGAAAGGTCTATTCAAAAAAGAATCACTTTCATGGAAAGCACAAAACAGGTAAGTCATGCGCGGACAGCCCCCGGGTCCTCCCGCAGAGGACACGCATCAGCCTGCGGCCTGCCCGCCCGGCGCGCCGCCGTGTTGTGATTTCATTTCAGTGATCTCATGTGCCATTTTCAGTAAGTTCTTCATCACGTCTCCCTCTTCATGTTGAGTTCCTTTCTGTTCTTGTTCTCGGGATACAATTCCTTCCTTCGCAATTTCAGGAGACCTAAACAGGCTTACTTTTAAATTCTTTTGAGAAGAGGAAATTCCATTATTTCCTGGTGTTTGTATCACATTTATCTGTGTCTTGGGAATTCTGTCTGGAGCGCGTCTGCTGTGAGCTCTGCTCGCCGCCGGGCTGGGGGTTGGCACGGCCAGCCAGCTTGGGCGGGTTCTGGGGCTTCGGGGTGTCTCCTGAGGGGGCTCTCTCAAATGCGGGCTTTTGCTCTGACGCAGCCCCTCTGCTGCCGCCCAGCCTCTTGGTTCTATCTGGCTTCAGTTCCAGAGAAGGTGGGGGGTACCTCAGAGCCCAGCATGTACCTGGGGGTTCTGGCCTACAGGTGCATGGGGCGCTCTGAGGTTCCTGCCTTGTGCAGTGCACCCCTCGGGCCCCACGGCCTAGATCGTCTCCGCTTGTCACAGAGCCCAGCCTCAGCCTCCCTCACCATCCCAGAGCGTGTCCTGTTCTAGGAGACTGCGTGGCGTTTGAGCTTGGGTATCGTGCTTGCAACACGGGTTAAAATGTTCTGTCCACGCCTCATGCGGCCAGGACGCGAAGCAGACCTGCGTATTTCACCTAGACTGGAGGACCAGCCAAACAAATCTCCAGTTTGGGGTCTGAAACCCTCAAAATGTCTCAAATAGGAATGATTTAGAGGAGCAAAATGACTGTTTCTCACTCAAAGGAAGGAGGGCAATGAAGAAAACAAGCCAGGCAGACTGATTTAGATGCGACGTACACATGACGACGTTTGCGTCAAAGAAAAACTTGCTTTCAAAGCTGTTAAGAACCACAACGCCAGGCCTTTTCCTACTCTTTGGACTAAAGGAATTGCCAGGGCTGATCACTTTATGGTCACAGCCTGGAGACTGACTTCGAGGCGGTCCATCGTTCCGTGTCCTTGGTTTAGACATGACCACCATAAGGCATGTGTGTTGGCTTCTTTGGGCACCTTACTCTCAGGGAAGCCTTTTACTTTTGCTTTTGGCCGGCCTTCCGGAGCGGGAAACTTCTAGGGAAACACTTCATCCAACTGCTTACAGTTCTAAAGCTAGTCAGCAAAAGCGAGCCAAATAAATATAATCCAACACATTTCGACTTGACAAACATCTGCTTGCTTCTCCCTCCACTTATGAAGCATACATCATGGGTGAAACCTGTTTTTAATCAACTAATATGTAGACTAAACCCCGTGGTTTAAACACAGCACCCTGTCTAGATCCTCTGGGGTGACTCAAACTTACGTAGTACAAGTGGCGCTGGAGTCCGCAGACAATGCCTGAGCCGTCGGCAGCACAATCAAGGGAATGAAACTGGGAGAGACAGACCCGTTTGCAGGGGGTGCCAAAGGGCCCGGCAACACGTGTGAAGGGAGCCCCGGGAACCGGCAGGCAGCAAAAGCCAGTCCTGCGTGAGCCGCCGGCCGCAGCCCCAGCCCGGGACTTGTGCGGAGGCTGGAGAGACCTCGCCGTGTGGCGAACACCGCGGCCGCGCCCCGGGCCCTGCAGCTCCTCACGTTGACTGTGCTTCGGACAGACGAGAGAGAATGCTTTCTGGCATCCGTGTCTCGGGACTAAGTAGCTGTAAGTATCCACTTCCCTGCGGGCACAAGGCATCCTGCAGAGTGTCAAACAGTGTTCGTTTCCTGTTCTCCCTGGACAATGTCGATGTTTCTATTTCCTCATGAAGCCGGACTCGGCAGGCACCCAGGCGGCAGGCCTGGGGAGCCCTGTGGATGGGGAGTGAGGAGACAGGGGTTCCCCTGGACGCAATCTGCCACCCACCGCGTGCGGACTGATAACTCTACCCACCCGTGCCAGTTCCGGGCCGACGCGAAGGTGAACACACCAGGCGCTCACGAACGCCTGCTGAAAGCATGAATGGCGGGATCAAGCGTCCAGTTTGGTGTCCATGTACCAAGCCCCATGCGGGCCCTACCCCACGCCCTGGGCACTCACTATTCTCAAGCTTGCTCCTGACTTTGAGTGCTGGGGAGGAGAGGGGAGGCCGAGGCCTCTAGAAGCAGCCTCAACCAGCAATCACCGGCATTTGGTGGGTGAACAGCCCCACTTCCTCGGGCCGGTTGGGTGGGGCCACTGGGGCCTGTTCCATAAAATCTCTCAAAGAGTCCCCCCACTGGGAGATGCCTGGCGCCCAGAGCAGGCGCCCACAGCAGCAACCTGTTGGCGAGCACAGCCTCCTGCCACTTCCTTCCCACCTTCAGGCTCTGCTCCCTCACAGATGCTTCCTGATCTCCTCCCTATTCCAGTTTTTAGGGTCAGCTCCTGGGAGAAGGAAACTAAAACCTTTTCCACAGACACCCAAATCCTTTCTTTCTGATTGCTCCTTCTTCCAAGAAATAGGCAGATTAATGAAAGGTTGTGCTGCTTTTGAACGATATTTGCAAACACAAGAGATAGTTTTCTCTCCCCTCATTCTAACTTTTTCTGGAGCTCACAGATCCTCCAAATTCCAGGCTCTCAACCAGCACTGTCACTAGAAAATCATGTGAGCCACATTTTCAATCTAAAATTTCTAGTAGCCATAGTAACAAAAGTCAAAAGAAATCGGTAAAATTAGGCTTAATTATATATTTTACTCAGTTTCACATCTAAAATATTGTCATTTTCAACATGCAATCAATATTTTCAATAATTTAAAATGGATGAGCTATTTTCCTGTTTTTTCTTCCTTTCACTGGGTCTTTGGCATCTGGTGGTGTTTTACACATCTACACCTCTCAATCCACACCCACCACATTTTACACTCTCAGCTGCTACATGCAGCTAGTGGCTACATTGCTGGGCAGTACAGCACTAAAGCCGAGAAGAGAGGACAGCAAACTTTGCCTGGAAAGGGCTGGGTAGTAAATATTTTAGACTTAGTCAGTCACATGCTCTCTGTTGCATCTTCCCCATTCTGTGGCTCCTTCTGCATGAGAGCAGTCTTAAGCAATATGCACATGAGCAGGTAAGGCTGTGTTCCAATAAAACTTTATTTACAAAAACAGGTGGTGAGTGAGATTTGGCCCCCAGGGCAAGTGCCTTCCTGGGCCTGGGCACAAGTTTTTCCTTCTGTCTAGGCTGCATCTGCAGAGCAGAACGTTATTCTACTACCAAGGAGAAAGATGGCAGCCCTGGCATGTATTGAGTACCTGCTGGATCTCTACCATTGCTTGGTGACAAACTCATTATAAACTCCCAAATAGTCATTGTGGGAGCAAATGGCATGCAAAAGTAAATACTCATTGACTCCTTCTGAACTCTAATGCAGTCCATCAACTATCTAGCTAGTTCTGCTAATGATGACTCCACATTGTTAAAGCAACACTTGTGCCCTTCTGGGCTTTCTCATTGGTGACAGTGAATTGGAATGAAGAGGAGTCTGACAATCAAGAAGTGTTCTAAAGGAATGCATATGGCTCTTC